ATATGCATAATTGTGTATGGGCATTTACGATATCGGTTAGTAACTATGCGCATAATGCGCATAGGCACATCTCTAGTGATAAAAAAATTGATAAAATCATTAAAGCAGCTCAACTTGAAAGTTTTCTCGAATGGATCGAGTATGAAGAATTTGATGAAATGAAATTAATTGCTGAAGGAGGTTTTGGTAGCGTATCAAAAGCAATTTGGAATTCGGGTTTTATAATTAGTTTCAACAAAAATCAAAGAAAATTAATACGAGCGGGACCAAGTTTTGTTGCACTAAAGGTGTTATTCAATTCAAGTAATGCAAATTATAATACAATTCAAGAAGTAAGTGAATATTGGCTTTGAATTAGCTAATCTAAAACTTGGTTTAACTTATATTTAAACATCTAGATTCAATCTGCCGTTATCAATAGTCACTTTGATAATATGGCAAGAATATTTGGAATTTCTAGAGATTCAAAAACGAAAAATTACATTCTAGTGCTTCGCTTTTATGAAGACGGTTCACTATTTGATCTAATTAAATGTGGAAATATCTTCTACCGTTATTTATGTGATCACTTACTTGATTTAACTATAGGATTACAATCTTTACACGAACGTCAATACATTCATCGGGATTTGCATAGTGGCAATATTTTATGCGGTTTAAATTTGTTATATATAACAGACTTTGGACGATGTAGAAAAATTGCTGAAATTATGGATGAAGAAGTGTTTGGCATAATACCATACGTTGCACCTGAGGTCCTGCGAACCAAAAAATATACTACTGCTAGCGATATTTACTCCTTTGGAATGATAATGTGGGAAATTTGGAACGGAGAGCGTCCGTTTAGTAGCTTTAGCCATGATATCACACTCATTTACAATATTTGTGATGGAATTCGGCCATCTATTTCTGATGATATACCGAAATGTTATCGAGAGCTAACGATGCATTGTTGGGCGCCGGATCCATCGAAACGGCCAACGGCAAGTGAAATTCTTAATACAATTAGAGAATGGGATTATCTCACCGTTCAAAAAAAAGCTGAAGAAAATATAGAAAATAGAAAAAAGAAATGTGAAATTCACAAAGACGCAATATACAAAAGTAGATCGATCTCAAAAATTATTCTTACTTTAAATACCGCCGTAGATGGCTTAACGTGGACGATCATTTGGTATATTTATTAATGTTATTGATCAAACATCAGCTGAGGAACTTTATCAGATTTAGGTATGGAAACTGAATATTTTACATTTTCAGCGCTACAGTTCTTTAAACAAATGAAGAAATATAACTTGATGAGGAAATAGATCACAAGCAAAACATGTCTACGAATATAATCAAAAAACAACAAATTAGTTCTGATACCGATACAGTTTAAACAAGCAGAGATTTATACGTTCTAATCACAACGTTCTAAAACTTGCCTTTAAATCCATTAACATAATATTTAGCGAGATCCTCGAGGCGCTAATTATCGACCGACATCGGTTTTATCGAAACTAACAAATTATATGTATATTAAGAAAGGAATATACGCGTAGGTTATAAATTTTTTTAGAGGAAATAAGACAATTTTTTAGTAATTAAGAAATTAAACGTTTTAAGTAATTGCGAGGAAAACGGAATTGTACAGTAAATAAAACAGTTAGAAGTATGTGCACTCCACTCACCTATATGTAATTTGTGCGTGATTCCGTGTAGTTGGGATGCCGTGCATGTGGAATTTGGAATTGTTGGAATTGAGTCACGGAATAAATCTGATGTGGAACGAAAACAAAATGGTAAGCAAATATAAACTTACACTTCACCCAAATCTAAAAGGTCGACCTTATCCTGCGTCGAATATTTGATCATTAACCTCACATAAATGATTCAAATTAAGATCGATGATATTCTCGCAAAAAGATTTCAAGGAACGTGACTAAGATACATTCACTTAGCAAATGTGCAAAAATGATAAGGTGCAAAATCGTGAGCAAGAAACGAGAATGAGCAAGTGAGCAAATGAATAAATAATCAAAAATGGCTAATGGAAAGTGGTCAAATATGAGGACAAGAGAAAGCAAATAAGTGTAGGAAAAAGTGAGAATAGGTATGAGTAAACAAAAGTGAACAAGAGCGCAAGTGAGCAAAAAATGACAAGCGGGTGTAGGCAAGAACGAGAGGATGAGAGAGAGAGAGAGAGAGCGTGAGTAAGAGTGTGGGCAAAATAAGCAAGCGAAATAGGCAAATAAGTAAAACTAGTGGGAGTGTAAAGTTCACAAACAAGCAAAAGTGAGTACAGACAAAAAAATGAGTAAAAGAGAGAAGAAAGTAAGAAGATAAACAATGAGACGAATAAAATCTTTTATAAATAAATCAATCATATGTTTGTGGGAATATTATTTGTTTATTATGCGATAGTTAAATATAATAAAATATTATGTTTATCAAATATAGTTTATCAGCCACAGTCATATCAATATGCTCATCATTTAATATACCCTAGCCATGGCGTAAAAAAATTTCAGGACCATTTGAAATATCCGATTAATATTAGGGTAGAGTTCGAGTAAAAAATTATATATAAAATTTTCTTTTTGACGTGAGTCAAACTATCTGTTTACCGTATTTTTGCGTTTTTTATCTTTTTTCATTTCTTGTGATCAAAAAATTTGTTATATTCCTATTGGTTGCGCAAAATTTCCACGCATTCTCATACTAAGATTTAATATCGACATGAGTACGTTCATTATTAATAGTGAGGTTGTGAAATCATGGAAAGGTGCAAGCGCTCTATTTTTAGTATGGTTTTTACGTAAATGAATAACGCGACGATAATAGACAAACTGATTTATTTTTACAATTTTCAGAATTTTTCTTTTCGTAAATACTTTTATTATCGTTATACTATTGTTGAGAAGTTAGAATTTATATATCGAACGATGTTATAAATTTATATAGTGGTGGCACGCACAATTCAGAAGTTAGTTGGACTAAGGAATTATAGGCACACAGTGTGAGTTACACTAAGATTCTAAAGGTCTCCTATGACAATCTACACAGCGGTTGTGCAATCAAAAGGCAGAGTTCAAAGAGGGTAATGATAAAGTATGAATTAATAATATTTAATTCAATTAACAAAATATTAACTTCGATTCAAATAACAAAATCATTCCGAAACAATAAAATAAAATGAATTACGATATCAATGTCAAACAAAACAATCATCTAATAATTCAAAGAGTCAAACGAATCATGGAATCAAACGTATTTGTTAAGATACAAAAGAAATAAAAACAACTTGTTAGATATGAATCAAAATTAATTTTATTTATTTTTCTTCAAATCACACATTGACTTATCTCTCTGACTCACGAGAGCTATCTTTTATATACAATTTGGTTAATAACGAACTATCCATCTGATAGAATGTCAATTACAATAAGAATCCGCGCATCCTATGCACAAAATAAGAAGAAAGTAATGTATAGTTTTTTGATTAAGCTATTTTTATAACAAATACTTGCTTATATTAATAGTAATATTATCAAATTATTTCATAATCATATATAAAATCATTTATGTAACTTAGAATATCTTGAATCTTTTAAAAAATATAATGAGATAGCTTTAAAAAATATTCCAAAATCTTCCATACAATATTAATAATCTATTAAAGAATCCATTCAAATAATTATTTTATCATTTTATTATAAAGTCAACTCCTTCTATAATCATCACTCTTGCAAAGTCAAATTGTAATAATAATAATATGTTTTTTATATTAGAAATTCAATTTGGAATATCTTCATAGGTATGATGTGTAATCATTAAATTAAAAATCATATTGAAAATCTCAGATTTTTTTGATTATGTATATATGTGTATTAATATCAAACATAAAATTATTCTTTTTTAAATGAACTTATAAATAAAAATATCAATTTGTATTTTTACTTATATTATTTTTGTCAATTTAAAATACAATCTAATATAAATATACTATTCGATTGCCTTGTTGTGACAAATAAATTTTTTGGACAATTCAATAAATAGACGTTGTTCCAAAAGTAATATAGGGAGCTAAATCGTATAATAAATATAATAAATAATTTCTATGAGAAATAATAATTTATAGAATCATGTGTGATTAGGCTATTAGTTCAGGACATGTAGGCTAAAGTGCTGTGATAATAGTCTGTCTATTAGCTTGCCAAGCCACATAATATGTGCTAAAGCATGGTGACTATTGGGTTAAAGCACTGTGATGATATCTGTTAGTTTGCCAAGGCATGTCTGAGGTGTTAAGCGATACGATGTTTTATGTGGCCTCGATGAGCGACTAGCCGAATTGGGGGATTTGCTATCACTCGATCACTTGCTACCCTTGTATTTTGAGGACTTGCTATCCTTATTTTTAAGGGTGAGTAAGCGGACTAGCCTGCCGAGGACGCAAATCATCTAGTCAGAAGTGCGTGATGACTGCTATGGCGCATCATGTGTGCTAAGCGCTGTGATGACATGCTATTAGTTTGTCAAGGCATATCATGTGTGCTAAGCTATGAATGGTAGTCTACTAATATGCTAGCACAACGTAGATGCTTATTATTGCTGTGATGAATCAAAATTGATTGATGATGAATCAAACTTGCTTACCATCCCTTTTAATATATAGGAATAATACATCGACTCGGTAGTGGAATGAACAATTTCACTCGACAATATATTCGGATCACAGAGCGCAGAATCCTGTTGATGACTTGCCACGTTATATACAACTTTCATGTTATCTCGTTTTATAAGTAGACATAATTGGATTTTGTATGCTATTGCGGTGGTGGTTGTGTTAATGGTTTTTGTTCTCGTTGGTAATGGCAACGATAGCTGGCATTGACAATTCTCTTTTATTAATTGAATAGAGGAGGAGCCCTCGGTTTCCTCTTCTTTTGACTCTCTTCTGATTTCTATAATTTTTATTTCTTATGACTATATAAAGATTTTAAACTTACCTTGATAATTTCGAAGTTTTGGTCTTTGTGATTGTATAACTATAACAAGAAGTTTGTAATATGTATTTTTAACGTATGCTTATGTTTTAACTTTAATAATTCGAATTATTATTTTATCAATGATTATCTAGATTGCTGTATTTAGAATCTAATGCAATGTTTTTTAAGCTATCTATTACAAAATTATTTAGAAATTACGAATATAGTAAAATAAAATCTTGAATTTATTAAAGGTATTTAATAGTAGTTCATATTTGATTTTTTTAATTTAATAACAATATTCCACAACTAGACAAACTCAATTTTGATTATCATTGTTTGGTGTTCGGTTTCGAATCAATTGTTCAATTATTAAAAATTCTGAATTAATAGATTACATGTATTTACAGTGGCCTGCAAAAATAACGCACCGCTTACATTGCTAATCGTTAATCACCTGATTCACATGCAATCCGATGAACGCAAATCGTCTAATACAATTCTATAAGTTAACACAAAAAAATGATTTTTATTATTTAATTCTCTAAATTGGTGGTGCAATGTATCGTGGTCACGCTTTTTGATTTTTGAAGAATAACTTCAGATTAATCTGAATCATTTATGTGAGATTATGATCAAATATTCGACGCAGGATAAGGTCGATCTTTAGATTTGGGAGAAGTGTAAGTTTATGTTTGCTTATCTTGGCAATGCTCATTGGAATCTTTTGCGAGAATATCTTGTTTTCACAACAGATTTAGCAATCTTTAGCAAATATTAACTTTTGTTACCAGTAGTGTTCAACTTCTTAAAAAATATAATCTCAACATGTCATGAGTCCGACAAGAAAAGTCCCGAATGTACGAGGATTTGTAACAATCATCTTGAACCAACCCATGTCAGTTAAGTTATCTCATGATTTTTCAAATTTTACAGTTCATCTCCATCCAGGAAAGAAATGCTTGCATTGTGTTGTTCTCTATTGCTATTACATTTTTTTTCAGTTTGTCCATCTTTTTTATTATTATCGAAAGAACTACTTTTTCATCCTTATCCATTTGTATGTGTGAGTTCGATGCTGTGCTAAGAAATGACATATGTTATTTTACTTTTGATTTCGTGATATACTAATATCATTTCATAATTTGATACTTGTAAACCTAATATTTTAATTGATGTGAAATGTCAGTTGATATTGCGACTATGTTTGTATCTTATTGAGACATAAAGAAACTTATATTTACGTGTTTGTAGAAT